AGACTTGTGCTAAACAATTATGGTATCTCCCCTTTTGCCCTGGGTTATTCGCGTTTCCGGTAGCATCCTATCATGTCTTCACTATTGCTATTTTTACCGTGTTTATTTAGATTGTGTGGTATGCTCCTTTGAGCGACATGAAACCTTCACACTCCAACTTTCGTTCTCCCCCCTTTCATCGTTGTGCAGGGAATGTTAATCAGAGTCTGGTTTATTATTATGCAGTCATCTTTCTTAGTCTTATCCTAATCTTATCAACTAAATAAATATTATTTGAGAATAAATTTCCTCAGATTTATGATACATCTTTAGACGGGGCTTATTTGAAGAGAAATGTAAAAGTAGATAACTTTTCTCATATCTCGACTTTACTTTACTGCTTTCTATCTAAGAATATAGGTAAACCGGTAAATAAGTGTGGTACAAAAACGCTTTTAAACGAAAGTATGACACTTTCCTCAGGCATGACCACTTTAGCGGCGAAGGTTGACCAATAAATTGTGTCATGATGATGAAAAATAATGCATTTATGCGGTCGTTTCTATCGTTGTTTTCAACAAAAAAAGTCTCAACGCAAAAGTGACTGTAGCGGCTGTTGGTTTCTACTATCAAATGTTGCCAACACACACAACTGAAACTGAACAGAAGATAAAATGGTAAAAAAATGTCGTCTTACTGACTGATTTAGAAGGCTATCGAATAACATGACTTGTGTCTCCGAGGGATCCGTTTTCGTCCGTCACATGACAGAAGAAAGCTAGGCATAGATCAATCAAGGTTGCAGGATGACGAGCCTAAACCTACTTACAATAATCCACCGGTCCCCATCCCATGGAAACCGTCCAGTGTATAGTGAGGCCAATTCACGATCTTCTTTTGGCCAACTTTCCCCAAAAATAAACAATCTACTGATATTAATTTCTTTGGGAAATCTTCGAAGTCCAGTTTTTTTCCATAGAATTATAGCCAACTTACACACATAGAGGTTGTTTGACCTTGTTTTCGCAACATGAATACTCACTGACGATGCCGAATACGATGCCGGCGAAACGTTTGGGAATGTACCACGTCCACGGTCCTACTCCAGAAATGATGATGCATACAATAATTCCGGACTAGATGCGTTCTTCTAAGTCTTCCTACCAATATGACCAAGTTGCGGAAATAAGGTCAAACAAGCTCTATACAATGAAAGGAGACTGTGACCACACAAAAGGTCACAACATCTTGGTCTTCATATCCTCGATTAAATACATAATTATATTTGAAAGAATTTGGGTTTCAAGGAAGCTCTTGGCTCCCATTTATTTGATTCACTTATTTTCAGGTGAAAATGTGCTATTTCAGCTTGAGTATGATTGTAATAATGATATTTTGCTCTGACGAAATATGTCATATAACGAACGAAAGCTTGGCAAGTTTTCACCAGAATCGATGACGATTGTCTCGATGGCAGCGTCGTCAAGAGCACTCCAGTAAAGCCAACCGGCAGCTGGCCAAAAGGAATCTAGCGTTGTGTTCTGATGGTACCGATCTTGCAATCTCTTCGTCACACACTTTAATCCGAAATAAATGCAAACTCAAAGCTGGATTCAATATCAGGTATAAATGAAATACATGCTAGCCGTCTAGAATAAAAAGATGACTTAACCTGCCTTCTGTTGGTAATGGTTCTAATTAAAGTCCGAAATTATACCAAAAAGCTCAGCAACGTAGCCAAACGTGCACCTGGAATTGTGCGATAGGAGTAATGATCAAAAATGGAAAAATTATAGCTAAATCTTAATGACCGAGGAGATAAACTAAGCCTAATTCTAGAATGGCTAGTTTCATATCTTTATGTACATAGGAACGTTCATAAGCGCACAAAAACACTTGCTTTTAGAGTGCTCCATGACATGAACTAACCAAATCATGAGTTTAAAGTATATGCAAAGCATGTAGAGGCATGAAAGTGAGATTTTAAGACTTGATAACACACTTGGTCAGAACACCTTCACCAGAATAGGAAAATATTGCCTCGAATACAACAACAACTGAAAGGTTCCAGTAAATCCCCTCACCATACGCTTCAGTCTAAATGTAGTCGAGCTAGAAGCAGCACTATTTCTGGCCACACACAAATCTGTATTTAATCCAAAGACCATCGTAATCCCTAACGGACACGCTACTGCCTCAACACTTGTAGCCGAAGTGGCTATAAGTTGTAAAAGAGTAGTGACAGAAAATCCTGTACTCAACTCATTGGCACCATCATTGCAATAGCATAAAACATCAGCCCAAACACTATCACCAATAGCATGTATGATACTGTAGGAATGGAAATAGGGAATAATGATATAAAGTAGGTATTCGAGGATATGTGTAAATCTTGATTAAAAGTAAATGTCACCCCAGGTCACATAAGATAATAAAGCTGCGATAGTTACATTTTCCTGCAACTAAATAAACAGGCCTCATAGTTCCATTTATTTAGGCATAGCCTTATTTCCCTAAAGGCATTTTACTCCAAGGTCTGCAGTTTCGACCTCGTCCAGGTCTGAGCAGCATCATATCATTTGGAAAAAATACGTTAAAGAGTAATCCATCACCTCATGATAATAGTTGTGAAAAGTATTCATAGTAACTTTATCCATCTAATTTAATTAACTACTCTTCATTAATTAATAATTTCATTCATTTATTCATTTCGCATATCCCATAACAGGTAATTCATTCAGTTATTCATTGAACTTTATTCATTACACTGCATTTAATAGTTAATTTATTCCGTTATTTATTTATTCAAAATTATTGCTTACCCTTTATTCAATTATTATATCATTCCTTTATTATTCATACATTTTAATCATACATTCAAATTTAATGATTAAACTTTATTTATTCATCACAATCTGTAAACATTTATACATTTAATTATTTATTCAACTTTACTCATTACACTGCATTTAATCGTTAATTTATTCCGTTATTTATTCATTCAAAATTATTGCTTACACTTAATTCATTCATCATATCATTCCTTTATTATTCATACATTTAATCATACATTCAAATTTAATGATTACACTTTATTTAATCATCACAATCTGTAAACATTTGTGCATTTAATTATTTATTCAACTTTACTCATTACACTGCATTTAATCGTTAATTTATTCCGTTATTTATTCATTCAAAATTATTACTTACCCTTTATTCATTCATTATATCATTTCTTTATTATTCATACAGTTTAATCATACATTCAAATTTAATGATTACACTTTATTTATTCATCACAATCTGTAAACATTTATGCATTTAATTATTTATTCAACTTTATTCATTACACTCCATTTAATCGTTAATTTATTCCGTTATTTATTCATTTAAAATTATTACTTACCCTTTATTCATTCATTATCTCATTTCTTTATTATTCATACAGTTTAATCATACATTCAAATTTAATAATTACACTTTATTTATTCATCACAATCTGTAAAAGTTTTTGCATTCAATTATTAATTCAAATTTCTTCATTACCCTAAATTTCTCCATTATATCACCCCTTTATTCTTTCGTTTTTATCCATCATAACCCTTTAACAATTCATTCAATACTATTCATACTCTCTCAGGTTACCCCATCTCGAACCCCCGCATCATGTGCTGGGGCTCGTTAGAAATACACATACTGACCATTCAGTGATCAGGCGAGGAGGAGGTGGAAGACGAAACCAGCCGTCGTTGGGTGCCCACAGTCTACGTAAGGTCAGATTTGGTAGAATTCGATTGGTTATCGCCGACTGTTGTCCGCATGCGGCGACTGTGACGGTTGTCGTCGAGGCGACAGTTGCAATTGTTTCCGGCTCTCCGACGCTCGGTTGGTGGGCAAAGTTGACCGGCGAGTTGTTCTGCCCGATTGTCTGCAGTTGGTGGGCAGAAGTGGGGCAAACTGACGAGGCGAAAGAGGAGTCGGAGATGGGAGCAGACGACTCGGACGCGTTGAAGGGCAGCGTGGAAGACGAGACGAATCTGCGAGCGGTCGGCAAGAGCGAGTCTTGCCCAACGGTTGCGCCGGACCGAGAAGTGATCGGCCCGGTCGAGGAGTTGGCGGTACAGCCGGGGAGGCTGGAATGAGGCGATGAGGGCGGTGGGAGAGGCAGGTTGGCGCAAGTGGGCGAGCACGTGGACGCGGGAGGAGAGGAGGCAAGAATCTGTACTGCAGGCGTCATGACGAGGGAAGCCTGGCTCCGGGGGCTGGACAGCCACGGTATGTCCATGCCTTTGTCACCGTTGTTTTTGCCTTCGGCCGTCGTCGAGCCCGAGTCCGGCTGGACGACGGTGGAGGCGTGGCGAGACGACGGAAGTGGAGCAATCGGGCCTAGCGACGCGCAGCTTCCGACGCTGCGAAGTGCAGCGCTAACGCTCGGAGGCAATCGGATAGGCTGAGTGGGCGGCGGCGAAAGACAAAGAGGGTGACATACCAAAATATAGGTCGGATTACCCAAAGAGATGAGATGTATTCATTCTATGTCGTTTAGGGTGAATTTTCACACAATCCTATGAGTAGACTTTATGTTTTCATTGAATTGCCCAAGAATTGATTTTCATATAAGACAGACAGCGGTTTCGAATTTGTCAAAGTCTTATCAACGCCCGCTGCGGGACTCAAAACATGATACTGCAGCATATAATCTCGACCCGTCAACCGCAACACTACACTGCCACGACTGTTCTTGGGTCAGAGGGCAGGTGTGAATTTCAAGGAAAGTCGGACATTTTGCCATACAACATTCTGTGGTTGGATTGAGGATGATTGCAATAGCAACCGACTGCGCTACTTATTTTTCGTTTTTTTATAGATGGGCTTTCGAGACTACCATTCGATACATGGAGGAGGTATATTCATCCTATTTCTTTCAAAGTGATATGGAGGCGGAATTAAACTAAACTAAAATTTGTGAATTTCAGAATTGAATGATTGGCTGTTCTTAAAATTATCTCGATAACCGCGCCTACTTATATTACTAAATTCAAATCTAAATTAGTAAGAGGAAAGGGCGATGGTTTAACAAGATATCACCAACAAACATCTGCTAAGTTAGAAATCTTCCATCCAGTCAAAGCCGAATTTAGCCCAAACTGCTAATTATGACAGATCGTGGATATATATATATATATATATGATCTATTGGTAGACTTGAAAACCTATTAATTAACTGAAAATACTCGTAGAATGTTCCTCAGGCGGTCGCAGTTACATAATCTGGAGAGCCTGAATTGTCCATACGAAATGCTGGGCCAAAATTATGCTCTGTTGCTATGCGGTTTGTGGTTAAAATGAGATGGTTTGATATCGTCCTACGAAGATCTATACGATCTAAAACTGAATAGTAACGGAGAATTTAGACCATTCGCGCCCAGATTTGGAAATAATCAATTGTAAAAAAGTTCTTCAGTTCATCGTCAATAGTAGGTGAAGAAAGAATCACAAACAGTAGATTGATGACATTGGTTACAGTTACTTAAACTAATGTCATAGTAACCAGTTTTGCAGTGATTCTCGACTTACGAATGAGTCGGCTTTCTGCTTTATTTTAGACTATTTGCATCAAGCCCTATATGAAGAAGTTTACCAACAGAGCTGTCAGATCCTCCTCTAACAGGTATGCATTTTTAGGCAAAAATCCATCATTATAACTTTTCGTAGACGGAATAAAATTAGCTCATTTTAGGCAAATACTGAAAGACGAACAATTCAGACCAAGAAAAACGGATAAAATAAGGGGATAAGAAAAGTTAACTTCAAACACTTCTTTGGAGTGGACTTTGTTTAACCCTTTTTCACGAGCTTAGACTTCAAAGAACCTACTGTTTATTATGTCTATCATTGTTGCCATGTCTTTCTTAGCATCGGACTGTTGACTGGCCACATGCCCAGAAGGTTCGCTGGCATTGTCAAAGAGAAGCGCATGTCTAGCGCCGAGTTGACAAGCCGACTGCGAAACGTTTATAAATGTACAAAGTTGACGATCAGATGCTGAAAAAGCGTGTGAAGTCGAGGTACGATGCAATCCGCAGGTTCTAGAAGGGCTTTCTAAAAAGCCACAACTAAGCTGCAAAACGAGATGAAACAAAGTAAAAACAGCAAAATGATACAGACAAATCCAAGGGCCATAGGTAAAAGTAAACTTGTCTGAGAAAGCCCCTCGATAAGCTGTCTTCTATCGTAATTCACTTGTTATCAACCAAAAAGTATGCCTGTAGATGGGGCCTTTTAGAATGGCAGAACGAAATAAAGTAGAAACAGCTGAGACAGCTTCGCAGAGGATAGTAGTCCAGACATTTGTTTGCCCTACTTTTGACAGAAAAATAAGTCCTTCAAAATCCCAACAGATAGGAGATATCATTACCTATTCTGGGCTTGAGTTGTCAACCGATTCCATTGGCATCATTTAGTTAGACAACCATAAATGTTGTGCAATTATGGATGACAAGAGGACTCTTTACCGATAGGATTGGGTCTGAGAGTGCAAACTCATTTGTTATTCGTAGCATTAGGATGTAAAATCTTATTATGAAAACTATTATAACGGGCAAATTATAAAAAAAGAAATGCTTGAAACTTAGTGCAGCAATAGACTAGACAAGCGTTCAATAATAACAGATAGTACCGAAAGATACTCATATCGAGACTAGGCATACAACTGGCTTATTAAAAGGTAAAAAAAAATATTGTTACTATTTTAGAAGTGTGGTCTTATACCCACACCTAGCAACAGTTAATCTGCATAAGAGGTATAATCTGATGAAGGTCTAGCCAATTCAAACGACTGGAAAGCGAAAAAATGCTCATAAAGAAATAATCGTATATGTGCAAGCTCCAGGCTTAGAAATATATAATTTTTTTTAAAATCTTGAAACATTTTGCATTGGGTTTAAACCGAAAAGCCGAATTGGATTTTGTCTAGATTAATTGTGACTTGACCAATCCTTCATACACTTTATGCTTGGAGTAAATATGAAAGTAGCTAAAGAGTGATTGCTTGAATAAAAAATGTGCACTGTGTAACAGCCTAGGAGAAGGACTCTCAAAGATTGTGCAAAGCGAACTCCTATGGCCGAGAAGATATGCCTAAATTGTGACGTGCTATGCTCGAGATTACTGATTAAGAATTATAAAATCGCGGTGAAAAAGTTACAATTAAAGCTAATCATCATAAGGTCAGTAGTGAGTAGGTTTTCGAGTTAGTCTATCGGTAGATCTTGAATAAGATGGTCAATCTGATCACAATCAAATGAGTACACTTGACGTGGCCACGCAATTTCACTTAGCCTTGCTTCCCAAAAGGTACTCTCATCCAGGTTGGGCGTCTGCCCTGTGACTCACTGGTACCCGTGGCGGTGTGGGGTTGCGGTAAGCTGTCAAAAAAAACAAAGAACAACTCGGGTTCGATTCCCGTTGGAAGTGGTGCCGCTATCCACATGAGGTCGAGACTGCAGTCGAGTCCAGTCTGTGAGAGATTTTGGAAGACATCATCAGTCCTACTCATATAAATGTGTGAAAATGCACTGTAGAACTTACATCAACTTAAGCTGAGTAAAATGCTTATTTCAATCGAAGGTATGAAGACCAAGATGGTGTGA